TTGCTTGCCAATTTTTTTAGTACCCCTTCCAAATGTATTCCTTCATGTTTTATGCCTCAAATAGCAAGTAGGGGGATGAAATTACACTGTAAAAAAATTTGGGTCATGAATTGTAAAGTAAAGTAGTGATTTGGTCCAGCTGAAAAAGGTTAAAAATTAGCACTTCGGAAGCTGTCAAAAGATTTCAAGACCCCCTTAACATAGAATTGTCCATATTTTGAGTTAGAGCCGATGAAGTTTTCTATAATTTTGATATAATTTGTCCCAAAAGTAGTACAACACACTGTAAAAATATTATTGAGAAAGCGCAGGTGGGATTTTTTTTATTTTCATTTATTGTCTAAAAGAAATGCACTACGAAATAACTGTGTACTCGGACCATATACTTTATACTTTTTTTTTGCATTGTTTTTGAGTGTCCCACTTGCATACTTCTTTATTATATTGAAAATAATAAACTTGAATTTGCAATAAATGAACTTTTCATTTCATTTTCAAAGCATTTTCGTAAAATTTATTTAACAGTCGTGATAAACACCGTTTTAGCAGTCATCGGGTTTGACAAGAATAACCCAAATATAAACAACAATCACAATTCTTTAATAATATTTAAATTTGTTTTATCTGCATATTTCTCTTTTCTTTTAATTCTTAAAACTTTGCTGAATGATTATTTATAAACTGTAGAGCTTCTGTACTTAAAACGATTCATATGTTTCCGTGGCGCCATTTTTATTAAGTGAATAAAATTGAGAATGGAAATGGGGAATGTGTCAAAGAGACAACAACCCGACCACAGAACAGACAACAGCAGAAGGCCACCAACAGGTCTTCAATGCAGCGAGAAATTCCCGCACCCGGAGGCGTCCTTCAGCTGGCCCCTAAACAAATATATATACTAGTTCAGTGATAATGAATGCCATATTAAACTCCAAATTGTACACAAGAAACTAAAATTAAAAATAATACAAGACTAACAAAGGCTAGAGGCTCCTGACTTGGGACAGGCGCAAAAATGCAGCGGGGTTAAACATGTTTATGAGATCTCAACCCTCCCCCTATACCTCTAGCCAATGTAGAAAAGTAAACGCATAACAATACGCACATTAAAATTCAGTTCAAGAGAAGTCCGAGTCTGATGTCAGAAGATGTAACCAAAGAAAATAAACAAAATGACAATAATACATAAATAACAACAGACTACTAGCAGTTAACTGACATGCCAGCTCCAGACTTCAATTAAACTGATTGAAAGATTATGTCTTCATCATATGAATATCAGGCACAATCCTTCCCGTTAGGGGTTTAGTATCATACCATCATAACATATATGAGAAGAACATAACCCGTGTCATGCCAACAACTGGTTTTTAAATAAATGTGTTTAGTGCCGATGCAAAGACTCTATAAGTGAATCAATATTAACGCCAAAATATGCAATCTTTAATGACCTGACAACAGTATCGTAACTATATCCCTTCTTAATAAGTCTATTTAAAGGTTTTGTTAGTTTCAGAGGTGAATACTGACATTTTTGTGCTTTATAAAGAATATTTCCATAAAAAATTGGATGTGAAATACCTGAACGTATAAGAAGTCTGCATGTTGAGCTATATTTACGAATGATGTCCTTATACCGATGATAAAATTTAGTAAATGTTTTGACTAGTTTGTGATATCGAAAACCCTGGTGTAATAATTTTTCAGTAATACATAAATTTCTCTCGTTAAAATCTAAAACATTGTTACATACACGAGCGAATCGTACAAGTTGAGATATATAAACACCGTAAGATGTTGACAAGGGAACGTCACCATCTAAAAATGGATAATTAACGATAGGAAATGAAAAATCATCTCTTTTATCATATATTCTAGTATTAAGCTTTCCGTTAATGATATAGATATCAAGATCGAGGAAAGGGCAGTGGTCATTGTTAGTATTAGCTTTATTTAAAGTAAGTTCAACAGGATAAATTTCTTTAGTATACATACTGAAGTCGTCATTATTGAGAGCCAAAATATCATCCAAATATCTAAAAGTATTATTAAATTTGTGTATCAGATGTTGTTTCGATGGGTCTTTACTGATTTTTGTCATAAATTGTAACTCATAGCAATACAAAAAAAGGTCCGCAATAAGTGGTGCACAGTTAGTCCCCATTGGAATTCAGATAACCTGACGATATACGGAATTTCCAAAGCGAACAAAAATGTTATCTAGTAAAAATTCAAGGGCATATATAGTATCAAAGCATGTCCAATTGACATAGTTTTTTTGTTTATTGCTACTAAAAAATGACCTAAAAGAGTTTGAACATATATATTCACATTCTGACTTTTTAAATGCCCATTTAATTAGGTGTGTGAATTTTTTCTTAATGAGAATGTGAGGCAATGTGGTATATAGGGTAGAAAAATCAAAACTTTGAACAGATTCAAAATCACCAATATATGCATGCAATTTATCAAGTACTTCCAACGAGTTCTTGACACTCCAAAAGTAATTAATTCCACTATTTTCGAAGGCCTTATTTGAACAATTTATTATCAGGTTTTTGATTGTACCAAGTGTACTGGTAAGAAGAATAGACAATTTAGTAGTGGAACAATGGCTTGAAGACGAAATGAATCTATATTTGTAAGGTGTTTTGTGTAGCTTCGGAAGCCAATACATAGTTGGGACTTTCATTGTATTTGGTTCTGCTTGTAAAGCGGTAGCTAAAAGTTTATGTTTGTTACAGATGTCGTTTTCTGAAAATGGAGTCAGTTGGAATGTTGGTGAATTGGTGATTTCTTTTTTCAGAACCTCAATGTAAAATTTACGTCAAACAATAATAATATTATTAGCAGCTTTATCGGCCGGGACAAAAACAAATTCCTTGGCTAGTTCTTTTAGTTTATGTTTGATACGAGAAATAGGTTTATTGTGGTTATTGTTAAGAGTAAAATGTTCTTTAAAATGTTGAATACCTATATCAACTATGTTCATTACTGATTTAAAAAAAGAGTCCAAAGATTTTTTGTCAGCTTTTTCCCGTTTTATCCATTTCAAACAGTAAGTATGGAGTGAGTCGTGGATGATATTACGACACTCATTCCAATTAATAATTGACGGGGGACGATATTTAGGTCCTTTACTGAGGAATGATTTTAACTCTCGGTCTTGAACGATGTTAAGATCTCCTGTTATAACATGGGAAATGGGTCCATAAATGTATTCAGAATTACTGCAATTACATGAAGTAGGTGTATTTTCACTGATATTATCATCTTTACACAATTGGCTATAATTAAACACAAATTTCAGGGTAGATTTCTTGTAAATATAACAAATAAGAGGGAGCTCAGTATTATCAAAATATCCCGGAATTTGTTCTTTAACAGAATGGTCGTTAAAAATACCGGCAATATTTACAAAATCAAAACCTTTATTGACATACTTTATTTTAATAAATTGTTTTTTATGATCTTCAGGGCGATCAATTTTGGGAAACAGTTTAGAATAACAATATGCCATTATAATTTGAACGATTTCATACTTAGGACTGCTATATGAAATTGTGTTGCAATCCTCTAAAATTTTATTTAACTTATTAACCGGTAATGAACAGAGCTTTGTTAACAGATAATGTCTGCCGTTGTTTTTTGAAATAGAAATTAGGTCCGAAATATTGGTATGATTGGTCCGAAATTTTCTTTGATTGCGATTTTTTCTACGACCATGAGAACGGTTTTTACGAACAGTTTTAGAAACTATATCCAAAATGTTAACAGAATCGGTTCTTGATATGTTACCAATTCCCATGATATTATCATTAAGACCGAGAGGGTAGACTGTCTGTAATTTTTTAATCCAATTTAATTCAATTATTTTCCGCGATCGTACAAACTTTGAATGAGATTCACCAGGCTGCTTATTTACTACTTCTAAAGGTTGAACTGCTAAATATTTAATAGGATGATTGTGCTTCTTAAGATGTTGATAAATGATACTTTTGAATTTACTGGGTCTTTTAAAACGATACAGATGTTCTTGAGTGCGTTTAGATAAATATCGTCCAGTTTCACCTACGTACTGAATACCGCATCCCGGTTTGTTTCATGTGAGTAAATAAACATGTTACGTAGTAGAGTTCAATCCGTCAGAGGGTCAATCCGTCTGATCCGTTCAATCAGTCAAAGATTTTTACTATAAGTCTGATGGATTGGTGACGTCAGTTTGACGAGAACTTGACTGATCCGTGACTGATCGAAGACCGCAGATTGATTGCTAAAATAGTAACGCCTAAGGTTGCAAGTACTGTATGGCATGGGTGTGTACAATTGAGATAATTCTATCATTTTATAACTTAACCATTGAAAATTGCTAATCAATTCAAAGTCACTGGACCTTAGCCTAGGGGACAGGGCCTCGAAATATGATTCTACACATGTTTTAACGACTTTATAGATATATCTAAGACAACTTTTGAAATGTTGTGAAAAAAGAAAAATATCAATTCCAATAAAAGGCTACTTGAACATTTGGAAATCGTTAAGCAAACTAGACATCACTTAAAGAATAGAAATGTTAAAAATAGCTGACATCAATATATTTTCAAAAGCCTGCCGACTGCATAACACATTTGTGTACAAGATTTGGATTTTCCAGGTTGTCTACCATATGAAAGGTTGAGAACAACTGACGGGTGATATATAAATATGACATATGCGAGACTGATAAATCTGTCTTTTTAACAAAAGCTATAATTAGCTCAACATTTTGGCATCAAGCATTACTGAAGAGACATTCATTGTTGAAATACACATCTGGTGCAGTAAAATTGGAACAGTTAATGCTATTAATTGACTGATTGCCTCCCATATTTTCTTCCTTACTTGGAGCATAAATTGGAATCTATAGTTCTTGACAACAATTTGCATTTTAAGCTAAGAAAAAGTTAAATAAAATATAAAATATTTTAAATCTCACTTATCTTATCTCTATGAAATGTTACCTTGTGCATTTTTGTCGTCAGCTTCATTGAGTTTTGTTACAACAAGATAAATTGCACCTGAGGACAAAAAGGTTTGATGTGTGTGGTAAAATTCTTCATCTCCTGCAAAATCCCATAGCAATAATGTGGCATACTCCTCTTTGTCATGTAAATCAACATTAGATTTAAGCATGGTTTCAATATCCATTTTTGCCTGTTCTAATGATTGGTTTCGTTGCTGCGAGGTTACTAGAGGTTCAACTTGAGATGCAGTGGTTACTTGAAGTCTTCTTTTTTTAGGCTGCTGGGTTACTGTCTCTGATTCATCAAAACTTGTTGATGGTGTGTTTTCCTTAACAGCGTGATGGGCTCCTTCTTCTACTGATGCTTCAATTGTTTCTTTGAATTGTTTCAACAGTCGTTCATGAATTTCAGTTTCTTCATTGGTTCCTATCATTAGAAAATTACAATAATATAGAAAAAATTGGATAAATGTTAAGTAAGATCATATTATAGAATAATAAGCAAAAAACAGTTACAGAATAAATGTTTTCCATACAATTTTTTATTTCAACCATTAGTTCTACAAAAATACACATGAACAGTTATCACAATTGAAAAGGGAGTTTCTTCAGTTGGTTGTAATATTGATATACCAGATTTGATTAAAACCACAAAACTTGATGCATATAATACACATACCTTATTATTAATATGTTGCTAAATAAAGTTTAGATATTCAACAAAATAAAATAAAAAAAAGCATGAAATAAGATTCATCATGAGATGATGTGGTTTACAAATAATTTTGAAGGCAAACAGTGAGTTGTAATTGTTTACACTCTCATCCTTTGGTCTTTGTTGGAAATATGTCTTATGGGCACTTATGACACATTTTATATCCATGTCTTCACATGTTAAAACAGGATTAGCTACCAAATCCACATAAACTGTATTCATTTTGAACTTTCAGAATTGATTTAGACCATATTTAAAAGTATATCAGTAGTACAAAAAGTCCACAGAATAACAATAGAAAAGGCAAACAATTTTCATGAAGTATCAACATTTTTTCGACTGGAAAACTTCTAATTATCCGTCAACATAAGCTCTAAAAAAAGGCATGTGACAAAAAGGCAATTTAAATAGATAAATATAAAAAACACATGAAATAGTGTTATAATGATATTCCTCTTTTCTGTGTGATATCATATCATCGATAAAAACAATTATGATGATCATCATCTTTTTAATTAAAATTCAAATCAGGCAGGTGTTACCAGTGAAAGGGGATGAAGTAACTCAACATGATGACCACAATTCATGCAATTTGCACAATCAAAATATTGACTGAGGCTAAACCATGTGTAGCATGCATATGGATGCAAATGTGGTAGATCTCACAAAACATGTTTAACCCCACCGCATTTTTGCGCCTGTCCAAAGTCAGGAGCCTCTGGCCTTTGTTAGTCTTGTATGCTTTTTTAATTTTAGTTCATTTATATGTTTTGGAGTTTAGTGTGACGTCCATTTTCATTGAACTAGTACACATTTTGTTTAGGGGCCAGCTGAAGCCTGCCTACGGGTGCGGAATTTTCTCGATGTGTTGGAGACCCATTGGTGGCCGTTGGCTGTTTTCTACTGTTTGGTTGGGTTGTTGTCTCTTTGACACATTCCCCATTTCCATTCTCAATTTTATTGTAACAATAATTTAACAATGAACTATTGGGTTCATATTTTGACAAAATCAAACCAAGCTTTAGTTATTTTGTTCACCTTTTCTGATACTGTTTAAAAGCCTATAACATTAATGGTACTATTTCTATTGTACCAGATATGCACTTGTACCATAAATATCTCTTCACATAGTTTCTGACTGGATGAACTATTTATGAAAATTCTTGACCTGGATTCATTGAAATGTATCCTTGAATTGGATCTTGTAAGACCTATGCTTTGAAAACTGGAAATTGATAGATAGTCCCCTAACAAATCAAATAATATTGCTGAATAATAAGTAACTAAACTAGAAATCAAAAATATTATAAATACTTTCTTAAGAATAGAGAAACATTTGTGTTTAAGCTTATACATCATACCATCTAATTTATTCCATATGCCATCATCAGCCTTTGCTTTGCATTTTATTGTGTGGATTTCTATTCCATTTGTACTAGTTATATCTGTATTTTCTTCAGAGAACAATCTTTTAATCAATGATGTCTTTCCTGCACCTTTTTTTCCAACTACTACTAAACGTATGTCTCTCTTTTTCTCAGAGCCTGACTCAAGTAATTTGAGGTACAAATCAATAGATCTATTGTCAGCCATTAATTTTATTTCAGTTGGAACCATTTCATCTACAAAGATATTTCATCGTAAAGAGTTTTTCATAAAGAAGAATATTATAACTTTACTCTATTAAATTAAGTATACACACGTAACTATTCTTTTGTGTGCCTGTTTTCACTGTATGTTAATATATAATATTCAATTACATTACATGTATGTTTTTTTAGGTTTGATTGACAGACAACAGTCATGAGACATTCCAAAATTATATTTTATTTACCAATAAAATTCATTTTTTTCATGACTGCATGTGCTTCCTTTGAGAACATCAGAACAATGCATAGGAAAACTGATGAAAAGCTTGATATGAACTGCTATATCATGATCATGATGATTGTAGCATAAACATCTCATTATCAAAATTGAATCCTACTTTTTTCATTTTACAGTGTTGTTAAAACATTGATCGTTTGTACATTTGTAGTACTTAATGTGCTTCGGTCGTCGCTTTAATACCCACATAGAAATACAGAAAGAAGCTATGAAAATATACTTGAAGAATCAACTTGCTATGATGCCACAATGCTAGAGACCTCACTTTGACTCTTACACGAGGAAAAAAAGGAAACTAGAGGCTCTCAAGAGCCTGTGTCACTCACCTGTATTTACTGATGCTTTGGAAATCATGTAAAATAAGGTTAAAATCATAATTAATAGTATTAGATATTAGATATTATAATGATATCTAAGATAATAACAAAAAACTGCAAAATTTTTGTAAAATTACTAACTCAGGGGCAGCAACCCAACAACAGATTGTCAGATTCGTCTGAAAATTTCAGGGTAGATAAATCTAAATCTGATGAACATTTTTGCCACCTGTCAGATTTGCTCTAAATGCTTTAGTTTCAGAGATATAAACCAAAAACTGCATTTTACCCCTATGTTATATTTTTAACCAAGTTGGCCATGATGGTTTGAAGGCGGGGTCTAATGGGTATTGCAGTGATTTGGTTCGATAAAAAAATGTTTGAAGTGGAGTTGTTTTGAAAAAAATGGCCGCCGGAAAAACTATGTGTCAAAGGTACTACTGATTTTGAAATTCATTCCGCAAGCTGTTACTCGTCAGATTTTCTTCATTGATGGCTTAAAATTTTGGAAATATATTCAAGTTTTATGATCCGGTTGTCAGTCATAATTAGCGGTCGCTTTTCAGTATAGATATGAAAAATCTTTGAAATAGATGTGAAAAAAAAATCGTTTACGACTTTGTAAACACCACTGACACTCGGATTCATAAATTCCAGAACTTTCTCCTTCCGAACGTATCCATGGTTTCACATGGAAAACAATAGCGGCTTGCGGAATTGATTGGATATTTGTATGAGCAGGGCGTGGTATTCATACAAATTTTTTTAACTAAATACCCTAATAATGATTATGGCCAAGTATGGTTAAATTTGTCTCAGTAGTTTCAGAGAAGAAGATTTATGTAAAAGATTACAAAAATTTACCAAAAATTGTTAAAAATTGACTAATAAGGGCAATAACTCCTAAAGGGGTCGACTGACAATTTTGGTCATGACAACTTATTTGTAGATCTCACTTTGCTGAACATTATTGCTGTTTACAGTTTATCTCTATCTATAATAATATTCAAGATAATAACCAAAAACTGCAAAATTTCCTTAAAATTACCAATTCAGGGGCAGCAACCCAACAACAGGTTGTCAGATTTGTCTGAAAATTTCAGGGCAGATAGATCTTGACCTGATAATCAGTTTTACTCGTGTCAGATTTACTCTAAATGCTTTGGTTTCAGAGATATAAGCCAAAATCTACATTTTAACCACATGTTCTATTTTTAGCCATGGCGGCCATCTTGTTGGTTGGCGGGGTCATCGGACACAATTTTTAAACTAGATACCCTAATGATGATTGTGGCCAAGTTTTGTTAAATTTGGCCCAGTGGTTTCAGAGGAGAAGATTTTTGTAAAAAGCTAACGACGACGACGGACGCCAAGTGATGAGAAAAGCTCACTTGGCCCTTTGGGCCAGGTGAGCTACAAAGGGAAAGGTACCTATTAGGCCCTATCTATATGTAATTGTGTTAATTAAATCCTTGTGTTGAAAAACACATCTGCAGGGTTATATCAACAAATTATTTATATTAAAAAAAAAAAAAAAATAAATACTGTCAAACAATTTCACTGTAAAAGAATAACTGTCATTGTCTCGATTCAAAGAACCTTTGTGAGCACGCTCACATATCCCACGCCCCACATATTGTCACTGGGCAAACAAAATCTCACCAGACTCCTAAGACTCATAACTCCTACAAAAATCAACTGATAAAAATTTCCTGTGCATAGGCACATATACATAATATGTCATAACTATCTACAAAGTTTCATGAAATTCTGTTGTGTGGTTTCAGAGGAGTAGTATATTGAGGCCAAAATTCTAAGTTCAAAGGGGCATAACTCCTAGAAAAACAAGAGTCCACACACTGAAATGTCTCGCCTGCTTTACTGAAAATTTATTTAATGTTGGTACTCCTAAATATAAAGCTTTACTACAAGTATCACATAAACTTCAGATAATCCAAGAAAATGAGGTCAAGGTCAGATAAACCAAACCAGAAATTCATCATGTACATGTACACCTCACAATCTTTCCATACACCAAATATAATTGACCTATTGCTTATAGTTTCTAAGAAACAAACTTAACCAGCAAAACGTAGCATTGACCAGTGAACCATGAAAATGAGGTCAAGGTCAGATGAACCATCCCAGACAGACAAGTACACCTTACAGGCAATCTATGCATTAAATATAGTTGACCTATTGCTTATAGTTTCTAAGAAACAAACTTAACCATGAAAACTTAACATTTACCAATGAACCATGAAAATGAGGTCAAAGTCAGATGATACCTGGAAGACAGACAGACCAATACACAAACTCTTAAAAGAGGGACAAAAGATACCAGAGGGACAGTCAAACTCATAGATCGAAAACAAACTGACAATGCCATGGCCAAAAATAAAAAGACAAACAGACAAATAATAGTACAGATGACACAACATGGAAAACTAAAGACTAAGCAACACGAACCCCACCAAAAACTGGAGGTGATCTCAGGTGCTCAGGAAGGGTAAGCAGATCCTGCTCCACATGTGGCACCTGTCGTGTTGCTTATGTTATTACAAAACTTTCACCACTGTACCATGAAGATGAGGTCACAGTCAGATGACACCTGCAAGTTGGACATATATACCTTACAATCATTCTATACACCAACTAGGATTTCCTAAATATGTACTTAAATAAAATGCTTCGCCGAGATCAGCCTGATACGACCGATGAGGTCCAACCCTGAACAGTTGGTGCAAGTTTTAACACAATATTCAAGCTTGATACTGTCTGAATTTGGATTGTAATCAAATTTTTGACATAATATAGGTTTCTTACACAACATAAATGTGGTGAAAGATCTTAAAATTTTGAAATGGGTTAAACTATTTGTATTAATTTTCAATTGAAGATTTCTTGCTATTGCGCAATACTGTGATATTGTGCAATACTGTGCTATTGCACAATACTGTGATATTGTCACATTATTGTGCAATATTGTGCAATTGAAGATTTCTTGCTATTGCGAAATACAGTGTATTTGAGGATTTCTTGCTATTGCGCAATACTGCGCTATAGCGCAATACTATGCAATTGAAGATTGCTTGCTATTGCGCAATACTGTGCTATTGCACAATACTTCATATAATAATTTACACATCATGTTTGGTGTGCATCTCCTGCCATATCAGTATTTTTTGCTTTTATATATAAATCAGAAATAATCAATGTAAAAATGGAAAATTTTAGATATAAAAAGAAAAAAATTATGAAAAAAAATTCCCCCCCCCCCCTATTTTTTTTTAACCCCCCTTTTAGTAATCCCAGCCTTCCCTTTGTGGTATGGTTCCTTGCAGTACAATTTCAGAGAGATCCATACACTTTAACACAAGTTATTGTCTGGAAACTAGAAAAATGCTTGTTTTTGGCCCCTTATTCCTGAACGTTTGGGGCAATTACCCCCAAACTCAATCCTATACCTTCCCTTTGTGATATGGAACCTTGTGGTACAATTTCAGAGAGATCCATACACTAACACACGTTATTGTCCGGAAACAACACACATGCTTGTTTTTGGCCCCTTATTTCTAAACTGTTGGTACCATAACCCCCAAAAGTAATCCCAACCTTCCTTTAATGGTATTAAACCTTCCGGTAAAATAGAGATCCATTCACTTTAACTAAAGTTATTGTCCGAAAACCAAATGTGTCGACAACATCATACCATTATACAATGCAAAAAAATTTTTGCGGTCGTATAAAAATCATGATCTGCTGAACAACACACACTTAAAAGTCTCAATCTCTTGATTGTGTGGTTTTTAAAGGACTCAGCTGCGATGACAAACTACTGTTTAGTATATTATGGCAAAAATTTTAAGTTCAAAGCGAAGGGGCATAACTCCTATAAAAAAATTGAATCATAATTTTCTGTCGATATGCACGTCTACATAGTATGTCCTTCTTTTCTACAAAGTTTCATTAAATTCTGTTGTGTAGTTTCAGAGGAGTTGCAATGACAAACTGTTGCAGTAGTATATTGAGGCCAATAAGTGCAAAGGAGCATAACTCCTAGACAAAAATTGAAATATAATTTCCTGCCGATATGCACATCTACATAGTATGTCCTTATTATCTACAAAGTTTCATGAAATTCTGTTGTGTAGTTTCAGAGGAGTTGCGATGACAGATTGTTGCAGTAGTATATTGAGGCCAAAAAGTTCAAAGGGGCATAACTCCTAGAAAAAAGATTGAATCATAATTTCCTGTCGATATGCATATCTACATAGTATGTCCTTATTATCTACAAAGTTTCATGAAATTTTGTAGTGTAGTTTCAGAGGAGATGGGATGACAAACTGTTGCAGTAGTACATTAAAGCAAATAAGTTAACTCCTAGAAAATCAAAGTATCTTGGATGTTGTGATCCA